TATTTATATTATTTATATTTATTATATATATAATATTTATATATATATATTTATATTATTATATTTATATATATATCTATACTATTATAAAGCTTTCAAGAGAAGGGAATTTTGTAACAATAGAAGCATATTCTGCACTTAGGTTTTTCTTCATTTAATTTAGACAGTCTACATTATTATTAATCACTGTGACTGTCAAGTTATTGTTTTCTAATCATTAACACATTGTGATTTTCACAGCCACCAAAGATGGTCATCCCAAGAGATTTACAGATTTTCGAGTTCAGTTTTCTGACTTCTGATGATAGTGAGGAAATCATTAAGTTTCTGGACGAACATTTGCTACCGCGCTGTCCATCGGTAAGATACAGTGTTCTCAGTATTCTCAGTGTTCTCAGTATTCTCAGTGTTCTCATTATTCTCAGTGTTCTCAGTATTCTCAGTGTTCTCAGTATTCTCAGTGTTCTCAGTATCAATAATTATTATGATTTGCTAATTATGTTTAAAAAATCTTTTGTGTACATCCCAGTCAAGCATTTACACGCATATATACACACCTCTCTAGATTTTCTTTTGCTTTATTAATAGTTCTTGTTCCTGTTTATTTCTTCATATCTCAGAGGGGAAGAGGAACAGAATTCATCCTCCGTGAGCCATGCGTGTCATAAGAGGTGACTGAAATGCCAGGAGCAAGGGGCTAGTAACCCCCTTCTCCTGTATACATTACTAAAGTTAAAAAGAGAAACTTTTGTTTTCGTTTGGATACGGCTGCTTTGGCCTGCCTCATGGTGAGCATGGGCTCGAATCCTTGGCTAGTCGCAGTGTTGTTATTGATCAATACCACTTGTACGTGGTCAAAGTAACATAAAATACTGCTCGTTGAGGCTAGTACACCAAACGGTCAGGAGAATGAAATTAGTTCAGAGGCACCCACTCCACCATATGTCCTCAAACCAAGGGTAACACACCTAGTTTGGCTGGGTGCTTGGTTCTTGTAGGATTGCGTGGTCCTGTGGGTTAGAGCATCATGGTTTTTGGTAATGCCACACCTCCTCCTAATCTCCAAACTACAGATTCTCTGCATGATGTTCTCACCACACATTGCCCTTAGACATGACATCTCCACTGCCTCCAGCCTTCTCCTTGTTGCAACATTCACAGCCCATACCTCACACCCATACAAGAGCATTGGTGTAACTATATTCTCATACATTCCCCTCTTTGCTTCCATGGACAAAGTTCTTTGTCTCCACAGACTCCTCAGAGCACCACTCACCTTTTTCCCCTCATCAATTCTATAATTCACCTCATCTTTCATAGACCCATCTCCTGAAACGTTTACTCACAAATATCTGAACACATTCACCTCTTCCATTATTATTATTATTATTATTATTATTATTATTATTATTATTATTATTATTATTATTATTATTATTATTAATATTATTATTATTATATAAATGTTAAACTCGTGTGATTCATTCAGCAGTTCTGTATTTTTTCTTCAAGAGCAAAGCCACTGGAGAGACCTCTACGAATTTATTAGGGGAGATATACATGAGAGATGTTCAGAGTTGTTTAGCATCTGGACTGTCTCTTGCTGCCCGGCACACCACCTCGAAAATTATCGTGGGAGTCTCACTCAATGAAATCTTCTCCTTAGAAGAAACACATAAAGCTACTACAATGGTAAGCTGTCTTTATAATATAAAAAGAGTTATTTTTATCAAGGAAGCTTTATATTCTTTTCGGAGTTGGCCTCAAAATCGTATTTAAATGAATGTGAATGGTTAATTTATCATTCCCCTCAAAATTTCGAGCGATAACTTTCATGTTAACTAACTGTGTGTGTGTGTGTGTGTTGTGTGTGTGTGTGTGTGTGTGTGTGTGTGTGTGTGTGTGTGTGTGTGTGTGTGTGTGTGTGTGTATGTGTGTGTGTGAATAGGCCGAACTCCCTTAAAAACTGAACTCTTCCCCCCCCAAAAAAAAAAAAAATCTTAAAGATTGATATTTATTTTTGTTCACTGTCAGTGGTACAAGAATTTTGTACCAACACTTGGAACCATCACCTAATGTAACTTATCCTAACCTAATTTCTTTAGCTAAATTCTGCTACACAGATTAATTTAAGTTTATTTTAACAACTTAAATTCAATTAATATATTTATTGAAATGTTTAGTTTTTTATTTTTACAGGTTTATATATATAGATTCAGCCCCTAGATACGTTTTCTTTAATATGACATAATGTTTTAAAACGATTGTCAGAGGCATAAAAAGTCAGAATTCAGAATCTTTATTAATGGAATGTTTAGAAGGCTGATGGCATACTTGTGTTTATTGACATTTCTACTGTTTTAATATGCTGCCTGGTATAAACCTTGTTAATAAATATCGACAAGTTAGTTTACAAAAACACGTAAGGAAACACTAGGACATATTAATTAGAAAACGTTTCAATCATGGGACTTGGATCACTTCTAACATACAGGGGTTGAAAGACAGTGTATATAGGAGGAGAGCGAGGTGTGAGTGACGCATGGTGACCTGAAGAATGCCATGATGGGATGAGGACGGGTAGACGATGAAATCATGTGACTCCTGTGTTGTTGGGTTGGTGCTGCTTAAGTATCATGTATGCTAATGTTTTAGAAATTTTGTGGTTTCCAGTGTTACGCTGTATGGTGTCGGTGACGGCGATTAGCGAGGCTTCCAGACATCATCGGCGTCTAAAATCTTGTTCGATGAGAACGAGTTGTGCCTCATCCCAATTCATCAAATGACCTGTGGAGTCCCTGTGGAGGACACACGTTTACCTTAAGTCGTCTGTCTCTGTTACTGGCATTTCGATGCCCGTTCAGGTGGATCGAAAGCTCTCTGCCTGTTTTGCCTACATATTTCTTGGGACAGTATCCACAAGGGATGGTGTAGATGCCCACTGTGGAAGTTAGAGCTCTTTGCATCTCCAACTCTTGTTTTCTTGAAGAATGTATCTACATAACACAAGTCTTTACACGCCTTCAGTTTCCACCTTTATTCATCGGGACTGCAGACTCAAGGCACGAGCTATCCTCAACAAACCGCCATGGAACAGCCCTCTAAGCAGTTCACAGTGCTCCCATGTGGTGATGTTGCCACGGATACTGGCCGGGCACTTGCTAAGTATAATATATACGTTTCCACCATAAACTACATCATCTATCAAAGACCTCACTATGAAACGCAGCCCCACACCTCTAACTTCCACTGCAGACGTCTACATCATCCCCTGTGGATTCTGTCCCAAGAAATATTTTGAGGAAACATGCAGAGATCTGTCGGCCCGCCGGAGCGAGCATCGAAATGCCAGCAAAAGAGACGACTTAAGGTACGCCTGTGTCTTCCACAGAGACTCCACGGGACATTTGATGAACTGGGATGAGACAACTCGTCCTTACCGATCAAGACCTCAGACGCCCACGATGTCTAGAAGCCTCGCTAATCGCCGTCACCGACACAATAGAACGTAATACTGGAAGCTACAAAATTTCTAAACATTAGCATACATGATACTCAACCAGGGAAAGCACCACCTATCCAATAGCACAGGAGTTACATGATCCCTAAAGGAATGGTCCCGAATCTGCACAAAAAAAAAATTATTCCCTACAAAAGTAAAAGATGGGCAGGCGGTGCAAAATACCCCCAATGAAAAGATGGGGCGCCATTGGTACACTAAGAGAAAACACAATAAGTGTCGGGGCCAGGACTGTTCAGCAGCCTCCCACCAAGTATAAGGGGAATTACTAATAGGCCCCTGGCTGCCTTCAAGAGGGAGCTGGACAGATACTTAAAGCCGGTGGGGGATCAGTCAGGCTGTGGTTCGTACGTTGGACTACGTGCGGCCCACATTAACAGCCTGGCTAATCAGGTCTTGATCCACCGGGAGGCCTGGTCGTGGACCGGGCTGCGGTGGCGTTGATCCTCGGAATAAGTCCCAGGACCGAAACGTTTTCTAATAAATACCTCCTAGTTTTTGCTTACGTGTTTTTCTAAACCAACTTGTCCGTATCTATTACCAACCTGGAGGTTACCTGGAGGTTATTCAGGGGATCAACGCCCCCGCGGCCCAGTCCATGACCAGGCCTCCCGATGGATCAGGGCCTGATCAACTAGGCTGTTACTGCTGGCCGCACGCAGTCCAACGTAAGAGCCACAGCCCAGCTGATCCTGCACTGACTTTAGGTATCTGTCCAGCTCTTGAAGGCAGCCAGGGGTTTATTGGCAATTCCCCTAATGCTTGATGGGAGGCTGTTGAACAGTCTTGGGCCCCGGACACTTATGGTGTTTTCCCTTAGTGTACCAATGGCGCCCCTACTTTTAATTGGGGGAATTTTGCATCGCCTGCCCAGTCTTTTACTTTCGTAGGGAGTGATTTCTGTGTGCAGATTTGGGACCATTCCTTCCAAGATTTTCCAAGTGTAGATTATGATATATCTCTCCCTCCTGCGTTCCAACGAGTGCAAGTCAAGTGCTTCCAAGCGTTCCCAGTAGTTAAGGTGCTTGACAGAACTCATACGTGCAGTAAAGGATCTCTGTACACTCTCTAGATCTGCGATTTCACCTGCTTTGAATGGAGATGTTAATATACAGCAGTATTCCAGCCTAGAGAGAACAAGTGATTTGAAAAGGATCATCATTGGCTTGGCATCTCTCGTTTTGAACGTTCTCATTATCAATCCTATCATTTTCTTTGCACGTGCGATTGTGGCACTGTTGTGATCCTTGAAAGTGAGATCCTCAGACATTACTACTCCCAGGTTCCTTACATTATTTTTCCACTCTATTGTATGGCCAGTCTGTTCTCGTTATTATCTCCTCCAGTTTTCCATAACGGAGTAGTTGGAATTTGTCCTCATTGAACATCATATTGTTTACCGTTGCCCACTGGAAAACTTTGTTTATGTCTTCTTGGAGGTTAACCGCGTCCTCAGCAGATGACAGCCTCATGCAGATCCTAGTATCGAGACTCACGAAATCGTAATGACACAATTGCAAACAAACCATACCACGGGCGGGATTTGAACCCGCGGACAGAGAGTCTCAAAACGCGACTCTCTGGAGTTTTGAGACTCTCTGACCACGGGTTCAAATCCCGCCCGTGGTATGGTTTATCCTAGTATAGTCCGCAAAGGATGATACGGTGCTGTGATGTATATCTCTGTCTATGTCTGATATGAGGATGAGGAATAAGATGGGGGCGAGTACTGTGCCTTGTGGAACAGAGTTCTTCACTATGGCAGCCTCCGATTTAACTCTGCTGACCAGTACTCTTTGTGTTCGATTTGTTAGGAAGTTGAAGATCCATCTCCCCACTTTCTCAGTTATTCCTTTAGCACGTATTTTATGGGCTATTACACCATGATCGCAGTTGTCAAATGCTTTTGCAAAGTCTGTGTATATTACATCTGCATTCTGATTTTCTTCCAGTGCATCCAAGGCCATATCATAGTGATCCAGTAGTTGTGAGAGGCAGAAGCGACCTGCCCTGAACCCATGTTGCCATGGATTGTGCAGATTTTGGGAATCCAGGTAATTTGCAATCCTGCTTCTTAGCACTCTTTCAAAGATTTTTATGATGTGGGACGTCAGAGCTATTGGTCTATAGTTCTTAGCTAATGTTTTGCTGCCACCTTTATGGAGTGGGGCTATATCCGTTGTTTTAAGTGACTGTGGAATTTCACCCATGTCCAAGCTCCTCAATAGTGTACTTAGGGCACGCAAGAGGGGTTTTTTGCAGTTCTTAATGAATACAGAGTTCCACGAGTCTGGGCCCGGGGCTGAGTGCATGGGCATGTTGTCAATGGCTTTTTCGAAATCTATTGGAGTTATGGTAATGTCGGAAATCTGGCATACATTTATGGAGTTTTGAGGCTCATTCATGAAGAAATCATTTGGGTCGTCGATCCTCAGACTGATTAGTGGTTCACTAAAAACAGAGTCGTACTGGGATTTCAATATTTCACTCATTTCCTTGTTGTCATTTGTGTAAGTCCCATCCTGTCTGAGTAAGGGCCTGATACTAGATGTGGTATTTGCCTTGTTTTTGGCATATGAAAAGAAATATTTTGAATTTCTTTCAATTTTACTAATAGCTTTAAGCTCCTCCTGTCTCTCCTGGTTCCTGTAAGAGTCATTTAACTAAAGTTCGATAGTTTCCACTTCCCTGGTTAGGGCCTCCTTTCGTGTATCAGATATTCTAGCACTCCTGAGGAGCTCAGTGACTCATCATCGTCTTCTGTAGAGGGAGCATCTTTCTCTCTCCAGATTACTCCTGCTCTTCTTCTTTCTTAGGAGAATATGCCTAGAACATGCTTCAGCTGCCAGGAAGTTGATCCTTTCAAGGCACTGGTTTGGATCCACTTCATTTACGATATCTTCCCAAAATGTTTTGTTTAGGACATGGTTTACCTGGTCCCAGTTGATGTTCTTGTTGTTGAAGTTGTATTTTGTGAAGACACCTTCACAGGTACATACATTCTGCTGATCAGGACCCTTATGCATGTACGTCTGGACTTCGATTAGGTTGTGATCGGAATTAGTTGTTTTTGATATTCTTATGTCTCTTATCAGGTCCTCATTATTTGTGAAGATAAGGTCAAGTGTGTTTTCTAGTCTTGTTGGCTCCACTATCTGCTGGCTTAAGGTGTGTTTTTGCATAGGCTTAGTAGCTCATGTGTGTGTGACCTTTCATCTGCGCTACCTCCGGGGATTGCTTCAGCTATAACATTATTTGCTACATTCTTCCATTTTGTATGCCTTAGGTTGAAATCACCAAGCAGTAAAATGTTTGGGGATGGAGCTGGAAGGTTTTCCAGACAGTAATCAATTTTCAGTAGCTGTTCCTTGAACTGTTGGGAGGTTGCATGTGGTGGCTTATATACAACCACAATGACTAGGTTTTGGTTCTCGATCTTTATAGATAGAACTTCAATTTCCTCATTTGTGGTGTTCAGCAACTCTGTGCAGATGAGGGACTCCTTGACATACAGGCCAACCCATCCTTGTTGCTTGTTCATTCTGTCGCATCTGAAAAGGTTGTAACCACTTATCCATATTTCACTGTCAAAGTGATCTTCTGTGTGAGTCTCTGTGAAGGCTGCAAACATTCCATTAGACTCCTCTAGAAGTCCACTGATAAAAGATATTTTGTTGTTGGTGGATGGCTTAAGGCCCTGTATATTAGCAAATATGAACGAGGTTGTATTCTGCGTTTGTTGGGGGGATTTTGTTATTGGTATCAGTAGTTGTAATCCTGGAGGGCCATGGGTGGCCACTGGCTGCGCCTCCAGTCCAACAAGGCTCCAAGGTGGTGGACTATTTTTGTTATTTCCTTCCATTTTCTTTTTCCGTTTCCTGCCACTAAAAAATCACCTGGAGTTGGGTTGTCGTAGCTGCTAATGCTTGTCTTGTGGGGTCTGTGCCTCCTGGTCCCTTTTAGATGGTATGCAGGGCAGTCGATGTTGTAACACTGCTTCTGGAGGACCGAGGAGTGACACATTTTTGGGTGAATGAAAGTACAGGAAGAAGAACGACACACTCCTTTAGACAGGAGGTCGCTACATTTTTTGGGATGCTCAAAGTTGCATGTCCCATTTTTTTTCCTGATATTCCATGCTTACAGATGCCCCAAACAGATGCACAAATTCACCTTTGGTTGAGAACTGTTGGGAGGTGTGTTGTCAATTTCTGCAGGTTCTGTACTGCACTATAATCCTCAGTATCCAAGCCAGGGCCACCCCGTCCTGGATTCGATCTACTTTCCTCAGTAGAGGAAAAAAGAGGAGACTCCTCTCCAACATCTTTACTGTGGGCCACGGTCTTGTGCAATGATGGTTGTATATTTACGGTTTTAGTGGTGGTTGTGGTAGGGTCCCTAGTAGAGTCTGGGCTGGCAGTAAGGCTGGGGGCTGGGTCTGAGTCAGCACTGGGGCTGGGGGCTGAGCCTGGGCCAGCACCAGCACTGTGGATATTAGTGCTATGACTGGGGGATGGGTCTGGTTTAGCATTAAGGTTTATACCACAAGCGAAGGTACAGTATATACAAAGAAATACCACTAGGATTCCAGCCATGGAAGTCAGCTCTCCGAGATTTTAATTAGCTGGCAGCCTAATGCTTTAAACCACTCAATGATGGAATGAATGAAAAAGAAAAATGTAAGTTTTTAGTGAATTGTCAAGCGTCTTGAAAGTGGCAAGTCAAGAAAACCAAGCCAACCAGGTACACTAGTAGACAATGTAGACCGTCATGGTGGTGTAGCCGCCAATTGCAACTCGTTGCAAGTTTTCAGAAAGATATCGCGCCCCACGGACAGTGTTTTCTTTTGATAATATATTAGAGTCAAACTCATTGATGATAGGGAGACAAGAGCTATTCTACATCACTGCCTGTGGACTGAGATATATGATAAAAAACGTGTTCTAAATTGTAGTTGTTGGTTATGTCAGCATCGCAAAGTGTACAGCATGTGGCATGTAGGGATCATGTTATTGGGGACCCTCATGGTACACTGGTCGAGCTACTAACTTTGGTTTTGACTTACCGGGACTCCCGATAACTCTAAAAATGTAGTATTAGTATTAAAATTATTTATTGACATCTTATTGTAAATAATTGTTTAATGGATTATTATAAATATCCTCATGACAGGAAAACGCGAGCAAGATGAACCAGATTATAGGAAAACTCTATGATAATATTACCCATTTTGAAGGTGTTGACGCCCAGGGTATGCTGCACTTGTATATTCTCTGTACCCATCAGGACTACGCTAATCATGGTCTTGGGTCCTGCCTGTTCCAGGTAAATAGTTTTGTTAAGGTATATTTTGTTTCAATAATGATCAAAAAATAATTGTTATGCCAAACTTTTGGGAAATTTAGAAGCATGTTTAGTAACTTTATCCCTACAATGGAAGGGGAAGCTTTGATGCTGGTGAAGGGTCTCAGACCGGGCTGCGTGGGAGTTGATCCCCGAATTCCTCTCCAGGTATGCTCCAGGTAAGACTGGAGCTACCCTCAACATCCTCAGAGGTAGAAAATTACACAGGAAAGGACAAGAGATGGAATGAAGGATTCAGGGCAGTGATAAAAAAAATAAATAGTCGATCAAGAATTAATAATTGCGCCAAAATAAAAGAGAAACGAATCTGGAGAAATATATTCAGAGAAAGATAGGAAAGAGAATCCAGAACACCTCACAGAAAATGACAATATGCCGGTCATAGATAATATAGGCTATGAGGATATTTGTAAGTACTATGTTAATGGAATCTACATATGTGGATGAGTATGTTGGCATCAACACACCAGGAAATTTTCTAATATGCTTTTAAAAAGGCATCAAGACACTTCCACCCAAAGATGTGCAAATCTTCACTGCAGTCCAGACTACAACGAGAATTTTTTTTTAAAGAGGTGGACGGGTAAGCCAGTGGAATGTCTGTGTCAGGTGACCAAAATTTCCAGTGAAAGGTCATCATATGACCAAGACCCGCGTCGGGAAACACTTGTCCTATACCTTGTCGAATCTTACCTAACCTAACCTAGCTACTGAGCAAGCAAAAGTATTGCAGATGGACAGTTTTTTTCAGTGGAAGAAAGGAAGGATAAACATGGAAGCACAACAGGTGACACAGGAGTGCATGTTTGTGAGAAAAACCAAAAAGGGTCGAACTTATAATTTACCATTGTACAACTAATACTGTCGAAAGGAGAGATTTGTACACTAAAAGTTATTTTACAAAAGGTGGCACATTATCTGGGGTACTAAAGAAGACTTGACATCCAGACAGGGTTTAAGTCAACTAGAAATAACAATGTTAACTATATAAATGGACTCCTTACAGAAGCAAATTGTAGCTTTAGAGAATTCACAGAAACACAAAGGATGTTCTGGACGATGAGTTGGTAAGTCACAGAGGGAGAAGGAATCTGTGTTAAAGACTCACTGTAAGGAACCTCTGAACTAGCTAAATGATATTGTAGATGTGATGGAAATTAAAGTAGGGAAAAGGAATCTGGTAATTATGCGTGTGTATCAACCAATGTCAGCAACGGCTGGTGAATGCACGGAACAGTTCATATAGAAAACTTTGAAAACCCTACATAAAATATTATCCTTTTATAGTGAATTCAATATGCTACATGTTAGATGGAAGATGGCTGGCAACAGTAGTGTATCAGACATAGTGCCGGAAGCACAGTAGCGTTGGAGGAACACATCAGGGAGTTGCTGAGACCCTGTGAAAAGTTTATTCTAAGCGACCAGGAATAAAAACCTTCTAGACTTGATCTTCACAAACTATGGGAAACTGAACAGGGACAGAACAATCTCATATACAATATACTCAGACCACAACCACATTAAAATACAAACAAGAATAGGAACATGCGGAGGGATCTCACGAAATAGCCAACGTGAAGACCTGTTTACTAATCTACATTTCGGCAAGTAGAGAAATGATGGAAAATCTGATTACAGAAGCTTACGGGGTTGTATAAAATACGTTCTGCTTAGAAAGCCAAAAATAATAGGAACTCGGCCAGTGAAAAAAAAAAGAACGAAGAGGAACGTATACGAGAAAAAAATAAGGTAACAGAACTGATTAATAAATATGAATATATCACAACGATTGAAAGGTAATCATCATGGAGAGATTATCGATATCAAGTGGAATCTAAAAGTTTACGACCAGTTGGAAGCGAAGCACACAACAGCGACAACGACAACAGCAACAGCAACAACAACAATAACAACAGCAACAACGACAACAACAGCAACAACGACAACAACAACAACGACAACAACAACAACAACGACAACAACAACAGCAACAACGACAAAAACCCAAATATTTCAACACATGCAAGACCCAAATTAAGAACCACCCGTAGAACTGACCCACTTCTCACAAGTTCATACACCAACGACGAAACAGAAATGAGTCCACTCGACATTACATATATCTAACAAGCACAAATCCGCTTGAAATCCAGAGAGAAGCAGAAAGAGTACTCCTAATTTATATAAAAAATATAAAACTACCACTATCCCGAGCACTCAGCATAGTTCAGAGGAAGATCCTAGATCGAGGTGAAATCTCAGAGGTCCTGAAAACACAGGCATAACTAGTCTGCACAAAGGCAATAGTAGAGCCCTGAAAAAAAAAGTATAGGCCTGTGGCGCTGACATCACAGACAAAAATCTTTGACAGGAGTGCTGAGATGCCAGTTAACAAATTTCGTGGAAGAACATTATCTGTATAACCCAAATTAACATGAACTTAGAGCAGGAAGATCATGCTTTTCACTACTGACTCATTATGATCTTAAGGAGATTTTGGAAAAATTCCAAAATGCAGAAATGGTCTTGACTGACCTCAGTAAGTCATTTGACAAATACGACATGGAGTGATAGCACATAAAATAAGACCAATAAGTATAACAGGAAAAGTAGGCAAATTAATTTACAATTACCCAGTGAAGAGAATACAAATGGTAGTGGTAGCTACAGTAGTAGTAAACAATGTAAAATCTCGCCTTAGCAACTAGATCAGTGTCATCAGGCACAGTTCTGGTGCCACTCCTGTTTCTAATTCTCATTAACAGCCATAGATAAAAATACAATCCACAGCTCTGTACAATCCTTTGTGGTTGATACATTAACTAGCATAAGAGTCGTCTCTTTAGAGGACACCAACAAATTGCAAGACGATAAATAAAAAGTCTTCTGGAGGGTGTTAAAAATAACATGATTTCAATGGAGACAAATTCCAATTGCTCGGATATGGAAAAAAATGAGGAACTGAAAAGTAGAATAGTATACAGAACACAGGAAGGTAACAACTTAAAATGAAAACAAAGTGTAAAAGACTCGGGGATAATGTTATCTGGCCTATAACACTGTGAAGGCCACGAATGATAATACCAGTGGTAACACTAATTAAATCACTGGTGCTCAATGTTGACACCTCAGTTCAGTGCCGGTGAAACAGCAGCAGTACTGGAAGAATATGAAGAGTGTTTACCGCCCACACACAACCCATGAAACATTTAAACTACTTGGAACAGGTCAGAAACTGGAATTGTACTGATGACTCACGAAGTTGTAATAACACAACTGCAAGCTAACCACGGAACAGGTGGAATTTGAATGGGTGGATTCAACCCCCACCCGTTCCTTGGTTTGGAAATTTATTCTGTAGAGAGATAAGCGATAATAACCATATGGAAGATACTAGAAGCCTCAGTCCCAAATCTGCACACTACTATAATTACATACTGAAGTGCAAAATGGACCCAGTGAAAAAAGCAGGGGCGCCACGGGCACAATAAGAAAACACTACATCCACATCCGTGAACCTAGACTTACCAAACTGCTACCAGCAGGTATCAGTAATATTGTTGGAACAAGTGTAGAAGGTTACCAGAGGAAACTGGATCTATACCTCCGCAGTGTGCCAAATTAACCTTTTTACATGGATATGTTTGCCGGGGAAGGGGTGAAGGGGGAATGAGGAACTGTCAACAGTAACAGCCTGACAGCGAGAGTAGGGAAACTTTCACAATAGGTCATAGGTAAAAATCACAAATAAACTCCAGTTTTCTAAGCATTGTAAAGCCGCTGCGGTCTTAGCGGTTCCTCACAAACACAAATAATAATAATAATAATAATAATAATAATAATAATAATAATAATAATAATAATAATAATAATAATAATAATAATAATAATAATAATAACCTGATCATGTCTTTTTTTTATAAAACTTTTGTCTTAAAAAAATCATTAATCTGATAATTGATTAACCACTATTAACAACTTGATATTATACAAGTGTTTCTGATGTTCTGAGAAAACAAATATTTCACATTTCAGAAAACTCTTGAACTCGGGAAAGAGCGAGGCTTCCAAGCAATGAACGTGGAGGCTGCCAACAGCCTCACAGCAAGGATCGGCGATCGCTTTGAGTTTGAAACACTGGCGATGGTTGACTTGACCACCTTGGAGGAGGAGTTTGGTATTAATACCTCCATCATCCCAGGTGAGACCATCGTTAAGCTGATGATGAAGCGTTTTCCTGGCAACATCTCCATATCTAACACTTCATCTCAGTCTCACTAGATTAGCGCGTCGAGCCCCAGTAGGATGTCTGGTCTGAAAAAACCAAAATCATTTTAGTTGTAAAGCCGCTGCCACTTCCTAACAAACACAAAAAAATTTAAAAAAATAATTAAAACATTATAAAAATTAATAATTTAATTATTTATTTAAAAACCCCACCCATGTCTTTTTAATTTTAAATCTTTGTCAAAACATTAATTGAAATAAAAAAAACTTGATATTTCTTTGGATGTTTGAAAAACAAAATTCAATTTAAAACCGAACGGGGAAACAAACAACTTCTTAGGCCAACACCAATCAAGGACCCACGCTTAAGTTAAACCACTGGCAGGTTTGATGACCCGGGGGGGTTTGGTTTTACTAAATTCTGAGACCATGTTAATGTATAAGTTTTTCCTTCAAATTCCAATTCATTTGTTACTAGTTACCTTGCGTAGTTTTGACAACGCTTGTTGATGTACAGACCGCTGCACACTTCCTCTAAACCCCTCTTTACTCCAAACTAGGTAAAAAAGTAATAACACAGGGTGTGTTTAATTTTCCAAAAACCTTTCCATTTTGAACCCTAAACATGGTGCCCAAAATTTGCAGGGATTTGATTTTTGGGTATGGAGCTTTAAATTTAAAGACCGAGGGAAAATTTTTACAACCAAAAAATTGATTTCCACCATAGAAAGGGCGTTCACAGGCAGAATTTGTTTTGCTTACTGACCCCATTTTTGTTTATGTTTTATCTGCTTTTTGTTTTACTTTGAGGGTTACCCAGGTTAGCTTTTAAGCACAAGCTAGCAGCCTACCCACCCTCACCCCTGTCTTATAAACCACCAAACCGGGGCTACCCACTTTCCACCCCCCAACGGGTGCCACGTTAAAAGGCTAAAGAATTTGGTGAGGGTTAACCAAGCAAGGCAGTAACAACCAGGTGACTCCCAGTACCCGAACCCAAGGTTCCCCTTCCCCATATTTGTTCCGTTTACGCCATTTTTTGAGTCTTGTTTTATCCTTTTGTTTTGAGTGTTTGGTTAAATAAGCCAAAGCCTTGGCTTAAGAAATATGTGCATTTCCCATCTGTGTCGGGGGTTACCCAACCCAGGTGGTTGCAGCACCCAGTCAACAAACCCCAGCACCAGCTTCCCAGTGATCCCCTTTAAACCAACATTTTCCCATAACCACCGGGTTTTTTTTTTTATTTTGGGGTTTAAGCACTCTTGATTATTTCATAGGGGGTCCAGGCACGGTTGCAAGCTACCACTGGCCCCAAACCGGTTAAGCCCTGCCCCCAAAATTTCATCCGTTTTAAAACCCTTTAATTTCGCCACTTGAGTTCCGGCTAAACCTACGGCGACCAAATTTCCTCCTCCTTCCACCCCCCATTCCCTTCTGTGGATCACAGTTTAAAAAATAAATTTGCCAGTGGGAATTGCGAAGGGAGCCCCAATTTTTCTTTTCTAACCCAATCTTTTCAGTGTTCCATTAAAATTAAATATATTCTTTTAGAGATTTGCCGTTTTGGAAAATTTCTTCAGTAATTTCTGAGTGACATTTCTTTTCAGTGATTCCTTAGTGACATTTCTTTTCAGTGACTTTTGATTAGACTCAGTGTTCATTACATTCTTTTGCATTATTCTTTTTTTTTCTTCAGTGTTTAATTTTTGTACTTTATTTTTGTCTGTTGTGTTGTGTTCATGTTTTTTATATACTTGAAGTAAGTACTTTAACATTTTTCCCTATTGTGTGCAGTATATAAGCAGTATAAACTTGTGTTTACACTTCACAATTATCTTGTGCTCACAGTACTGTGATCCTTGCTTAGTAATTTATGCAGTGAAGTATTTCAGTAACTTGTTATCTTATATTCTGCATCACAACTCAGTGTTGCCTCAGTGGCTAATCTTTTTAACATATCACTACAAACTGGTAAGTGGAAAATGGCAAATGTAATACCTATTACAAGGCGGGTGCAGGTCCTTGGCTTCGAACTATAGACCAATAAGCCTTACCTCCATAGTGGGAAAATTTATGGAATCAATAATTGCCGAAGCAATTCGAAGCTATCTTGATAGGTACAGATTGATTAATGAATCTCAACACGGTTTTACAAAGGGGCGTTCCTGTCTTACGAATTTACTAACTTTTCTCACTAAGATGTTTGAGGAGGTAGATCATGGTAATGAATATGATATTGTGTATATGGACTTCTGTAAGGCTTTCGACAGAGTTCCACACCAGAGACTATTGAGGAAGCTTAAGGCACACGCAATGGGAGGAGAAATTATTCCTGGGTAGAGGCATGGTTGACAAATAGACAGCAGAGAGTTTGCATAAATGAGGAGAAATTAGAATGGGGGCACGTCGCAAGCGGTGTTCCTCAGGGGTCAGTGTTGGGCCCGTTGTTGTTCACAATTTACATAAACAACATAGATGAGGGAATAAATAGCGACATAAGCAAATTTGCTGATAACACCAAAATAGGCCATCCAATTCATTCTAATGAGGACACTACAGCACTCCAGGATGATTTGCATAGAGTGATGCAATGGTCGGAGAAGTGGCAGATGCAGTTTAATATTGACAAATGCAAAGTTCAAATGTTGGACAGATAAATAACCATGCCACACATAAACTAAATAATGTAGATCTTAATACTACTGATTGCAAAAGGATTTAGGAGTTCTGGTGAGCAGTAATCAAAAACCAAGACAACAGTGCATTAGTTTTTGCAATAAAGCTAACAGAATTCTTGGCTTCTTCTAGAAGTATAAATAATAGAAGTCCTCAGGTTGTTCTTCAACTCTATATATCAGTGGTTAGGTCTCATTTAGACTATGCTGCTCAGTTTTGGTCACCGTATTACAGAATGGATATAAATGCTCTAGAAAACGTACAGAGGAGGATGACAAAGGTGATCCCATGTATCAGAAATCTTCCCTATGGGGAAACGACTGAGGCCCTGAATCTGCACTCTTTCGAAAGGTGTAGAATTAGGGGGATACGATTGAGGTGTATAAATGGAAAACAGGAATAAATAAAGAGGATGTAAATAGCGTGCTGAAAATTTCCAGCCAAGACAGGACTCGCAGCAATGGTTTCAAGTTGGAAAAATTCAGATTCAGGAAGGATGTAGGAAAGCACTGGTTTGGTAATAGAGTTGTGGATGAGTGGAACAAACTCCCGAGTACAGTTATTGAGGCTAAAACGTTGTGTAGTTTTAAAAAATAGGTTAGGTAAATACATGAGTGAGTGTGGGTGGGTGTGAGTTGGACCTGACTACCTTGTGCTGCTGGGTCTGGTGCTATGCTCTTTCCTTGAGTGGAGGTGACCAAACTGGGTGGGTCATTGGGCTAATGCGGGTGGGGTGGGTCATTGGGCAAATCCGGGGGGGGCTTTGGCTTCGCGGGGGGCCTGGGCCTGCTCTCAGGGGTTTCATGGCCTTTTTTGCATTGTTCCCTTTTTTCTTTGTTAATTTCTTTTTTCAAATTTTTGGTATTCTTGTGTTATTTTGTTTGAAGCAAGACAATTATTTCCAATTTTAGTCAACACAAGACCTTATTGCAAGAATATTATCATAGTATTGTGCATATATTGATGTGTTGTGTTCCTGTCTTATTGTAAGTGTTAACCTTTCCCTGTTTTGTGTTTTATTGCCCTCTGTTATTTTTTTCATATTTCATTCAACAAATTCACTCTTAGTGCAATTTTTAACTTTTTTTTTTTAGAGTAAATCATTCTTTTGCTTGTTCAGTAAGTGTTGCTTAAGCTGCAATTAAGAGTTAAAGTGTTCAATCAGTTCATTCCTTGATCATTTTTTTATTGTTTTTGTAAACTGCATTTCTTGTGTGTGCATTTTTTTTATTGCAGTGTTAACTCATTCTGCAATGACTCCTGTGCCAGTATTGTGCTGCCATTAATTTTTTTCTTTCAGAATTTTTTTAAGTAGTGTTGTGTTGTGCAGTACTTTTTGATTAGTAATTGTTATTTGCAATATTGCTACAGTTTATTTCAGTGCAATATTCTGTGATTTCAGTTTTACATTTCTTGTTCTGTGCAAAATATTTTATTCTTTGTGTGTCACTTTATTTTTTTTTTTTTTTAGAGAAATGCTTTCCCAGTCTATTTTAATTTTGCGCAAGATTTATTGATTCCATTTTATCATTTTTGATTGATTTATCATTTATTGTTGAATTTCTTTATTGAATTGAGAGTAAAGACAACTCACTGTGCCATTAATTCAAATTAAAGTAAACTTGAGTACATTTCATCTGAGTAAAGTACAATTTCTCTTTATTATCAAAGTGTTGCTTATCCAATTGAGTGTTTTATGTGAGTTTTCCTTGCTCTACAGTGTGACTTGTTATTTTTCCTTTACTTATGCAGAATAGTTAAGTATTTTCTTCCCATTTAAGCTTACTGTGTCATATATTACCTCTATTATTCTTGCTTTCAAGTCCTTGAGAAAGTTCCCTGAGAAGATGTCCCAGTCACTTTTGCTTGCTCACTTAGTGTATCATGCCAGTCAAAGTCAATATGAATCAGTCCACAGTACCAATATTCCCTTACTGACTGAAAGAGCAATGTGATTGTTCTCACAGCTTGTATCTGAGATTTGTTAAAGTGCTGTGAAATGTGAAGTTCAGATTAAGTTCCTATAGATCCATGAATTACTTATTACCATAGCCGAGCAGTCAGGCACTAGTAATACCGTCACTCCTGTCTGGAATCCAGCCACGATATTATGCACGCAGGATAGTGTACAGTTACCTTGGGTTTCAGAGGAACTTCAGACAACCCTGGGTGCTGAGACTACTATCCCTGCGATGGCGACTTGTTCAAGTAGTCGTTCCTTCCAGAGGAAGCTTTGTGAAGGATGTTACTTGTATTGAGTTATGACATCTCTTGCTGATGTCACAAGCCATTGCAGAAAGACGTTTCTGTGGCTGGTGTACTCACTTGAGTGTTGTTGTTGCTCCTTGTGTTCCAGATGGTGATACTATCCTAGCTGACAGTAATCCTTGCAATGTAACAAGTTGTTTCTTGAGTAATCTTCACATGTTGTTAATGTTTATACGAGCAGTCTCTTTATAGCTGATACCTCGTGTCACTGTGAGTGACTCAGAATGAATACCAGTATTGTCAACCGTATTCATTTCTTTTCCTCTGCGCTTGCAGTGAGAGATAGTAGATCCGTTCTCCCTTGCTCATATTGTGTGTTATAGTGTGTTATAGCGTTACTTTTTTCTACCGGGGAGAGTCATCAACTCCACCGAGTTTGTCATAGCAACTCGTACCAGCTTAGTTCAAAGTGTTTTTAGAAGAATCTGTGAGACACTTTGTAAGTCAACAGCTGAATTCACAAGAGTAACTAATAGCCGTGCTAAGCCAACCAAAGATATGGTGGGTTCGAGAGTAACACTGACTAACTTCAACAAAACATCCGCAATGCCTAAGCTCGATCAAAAGTTTGCTGGTCCTTATCGAGTAGTTGAGCATATCAATGGCAGTAAGTATAAGGTTAGAGAAATTAGTACTGGTCAGTATAAGGAATCACATTTAGATCATATGAAGTTAGTATGCGATGTCGAGGATGATATTTCTACCCAGACTAATGTGACAGATGCTGATAATCCTCCTGACTCTGTACCCTCTACCTCTAATACTCAGTCAGATGATCAACCTGAATGTCGTTATTGCTTTCGAATACGACAAGTAATGAGAAACCCCCAAGTATCTTTTGCAGATACTTGTTCAGATCTCCTTCAGACAAGTCATGTGTTAGCCATTGCAAAGGAATTTGATCCTCCCAAAGATGATAGCCATTCTGCATATGTAAATATTACCCTTGCAGAGTTGGGTTTAAATGTACATAGCATGTATAATTAGATATTCAAGATGAATGAAGTTGTCCACTGTGTGTTTATTAATAGCTGATCAGTTTTCAGAAAAAAATTTTGTGTTCACATTCCCTCCGAATTCTGAGATTTAGCAGTACTGATCTGTGCGCACCAGATCTGTCTTTGCTGTTAATTACTTTACATTCTTCCTCAGAATACGTAGAGTACATGAATACAGATCGATCGATCAATTCCATCCTTTATTATACTATGATTTGTTCTTATAATTCGTAATGTATTATGATACCACCCATTACAATAACATTCATTAGTTCTAAGTTACACATGTCTTTGCTATTGTATAGAATCAGCAAAGAACCACCTGCCTGTTCAGCCTATAGCATAGTATTGCATGTTGAGACAACATACATAACATGACCGAGCTGTCAGCATAGTTGCTGATCCCCCGTATATGTATATGTTATCTATCATAGTTAGTACTTCCATATGTTTTACATAGTTGACCCCTTGCTAGGATCAGTGACTAGCCTGTGTGACATCATGTGATGCTGCATGTGAGCGCTGTACTCCCAGCCTCGTCCTTACTCCATGCTTAGGTCTATGAACAGGCAACACAGGCAGTCTGGGCTCCCCTGTCACACACTGCTAATATAAGTGTTACCATCCAACAAGTGTGTTTAACTCCAACCATCACATCTCCACTAACCCTCCCGTCCCAACAGTGTATAATTCTCTACTACTGGCAAATGCTATGCAGGTCCAAGTGGCACCCACTCAAGAGGGAAGAAGCACTGGTGCAGACTACTGTTAAAAAAAATTATATCTCCCCCTGTCCCAGAGAATTGTTCCCACCTGGACATATCATAACACATTATTGCAATCTGCCACTGACTCCAGCCCATCAGTCAGTGGTCTCTCTACCCTGACTTAGCTATAGTGTCAGCAACTACCACTGATGGTATCCCTAAACACTTCATTGTATGAACACGTTCAGTGTCTGGTGACTTTTTTTCCTGACAAGCATCATTGCAAACTATAATTTCCCAGGAATCTAGACCTTTTCAATGATGATTAAGACACATATGCAACACATGGGTAATGTCGAAACGTTTCTCCACATAGTGGCTTTATCAGTCCAGTAGAAAGAAGAATGGTTGAAGATCAAAAGAAATTTGAGGTACTCCGTCTCTCCGCCTAAGTCGGTGTAACAAATCTTCAGTCTGAAATAAAACAACAAATCGCGAGGAAGGGGCTCATATACTGCAGAGTCCTTCTCGGCACTTGTATTCTTTTCAAAATGATGGACTGGGTTACATCGTTTCATCGTCTTTACCTCAAGTTTTTGTTGACTCTGTTATTTGACTAAGAAGTTTATTTGTGGCGAAAGGTTTAACAATAAAGTTATCCAACTTTCCATGTTGTATTTTATTCAATTTTCAATACACGTTTCCCCGTTACCACCTGCTGGAAGAGTACTCTTTGTGAGATGTATATTATATACCCATTTTTTTCGTAAAAACAAAGAAAGTGTAATTAAATCCGTTGATTAAATTCTTCAAACCTATTTTGTGTTCATTTAGGTTTTGTAGCGTATTTCCTAATACTGTTTTACAGATGTTGACAGTGAAAGTATACTCTCAGGATGTCAATGTAATGTTTGAAATTATCATGTAAATGCAATTTTTAACTGAGGTATACCATGTTTAAAGTTTGTTACAAAATGCGATATCCATAAAATATAGAGATCTACAGAGAATACTAGAAGGTCAACTTATTAAATTCACTTCAAGCATATAGCCTTTTTCTGGTTTTGTAACAGTTTGTCAGAATAAATTCTAGTCCAGTTACCCAATAAAGTTAAGAGACATTTTAATAGCGCTTTGGGATTCCAACTGGTTAAACTTACACCAAAGAAATAAAATTTGAGATATTTAATAACAAAGGTGTCTAGGTGGACAATATTAAAGAAAATAAGTTTGACATAATTTAGGATATAAGCTCCTACACTTCTCTTGTAGTTCAATGTTAAATTGTACATATAGTAGTATAGTGCTGAGGGTACATTTCGTAACAGTACGACTCACATGCCCGGTGTCTGCAGTCACCGCCAGCTGTAGGCAGAATGAGGTAGGATTAATGGTTAATATTGGAAAATAAAGGCAGCAGCAGAGATGAACAGGGAAAGGAAACTGAAGAGAGGAGTTTCTCAATTTTTTTCACAAAGAGTCATAGCACTAGGAACAAGATGGATGAATTGAGATTTGCCATATGTGTGCATAGCATTGATGTATTTGCAATAACTGAGAAATGGTTTAATTTGAAGAGTCAGACCGTGACTGCCGAATGCAATATTCGGGGTTTCAAGCTGTTTCACGTTGATAGAAATAACAGGAAGGAAAGTGGGATAGTAATATTTGTCTGAGAACACGAATTGCTGCATAAAAAGGGGTAAAAAAAAACCCTGAAGGAACATACACAAAGTCTGTCTGGGTAGATTTTCAGAGGGGCATGAAAATATAGTGTTAGGCATGATATACCGTCCCCGAGATTTGAACAGAGATCAAGGAAGACTACGTAGAGAGGAAATTGCTAAAGCTACAAGGCACGAAAACGTAGTAATTCTAGAATACTTTAAATTTAGTCAGACTGGTTGGAATTTTTTATTGGGAATTTAGAGTCAAACTGCTTTCTAGAGGAAATTCAAGACTGTTTGTTTTTAAAGCAGTTTGTGACTGAGCCAACGAACGGAAATCCCCTGTTTGATTTGGTTCTGGTAATCTAGAGATTACAGGGGAACTTAGCTCGAGCAACTACATATCGATTACCCTTAGCACTGAATGGAAGAATGAAAATATGGGTAATTCAATAAGAGTTCCAGATTTTTGCTTAGCAGATTTCATTGGGTTTAGAGAACACCTATCATGTGTGAACCAGGGTAACAAAGAAATTAGTGTGACAGTTTTCTAAACACTAAATATGTTGCTCAAAGAACATTTATTCCGTATAGAGAGTTTAGATTGAATAGAAATGAAATGAGTGAACAATAAGCTCAAACATCTTTCAGGGCAACAGAAGGAATTGATAGGGACATTACCAGTAATGTTTCCTAGCCAGTTTCTCTCCCTACTCCTGTTTGCTATCTATAAATGAAGCCTACCCTTCTCTCCTGTTTATCTTGGCAACTATGATCAGAGTACAGCCAGGAGAGCTATCAATTTTGCCCGAGAAGGTTAATTCAAAATTTATTATGATGCGGCATCATTATATTATTCTCAAGTAAGTCGTGTATTGGAAGGAAACAATTGTATGAAAAATTTATTGCTAGTAAATGATATTTGGCATTTTCAGAGAATTTGATTAAATAGAGATCATTATAAGCTTTATCATAGCCTTGTGTTCATCAGTATTGTAAATTACTGTTTAAGTAAAAAAAGGTACACAAATAAACAAGGCTTCATTTAAAGGAAAGTGTATACTTACAATAGAAAAAAATATATTTCATTTAGACCCCAGGATATATACACCAAGACGTATATATACTCTTGGCGTATATATGCTTATTACAGGATTAAAGCACATTTATCTTGTGGAGAAAATGTTACCTACAACTTTAAAGATCCTTGTGTTGGCGAAAGGCTTTAAAACCTTCTTAAGCAACCACCCACTGAGACAACATGTTGGTTACTTTATATTACACATCAATGTGGTCTGCATGACTGAGCTAATACAGCTGACTGAACTAATACAGATGACTTAACTAATGCAACTCTGCTCTAAATTCAAACTTCCCTCTGGTTTTTCTAAATCTAAATTTGCCCATCATAAATTCGTTCTTGAGTTCTATCTCGGAAAGATATTTTCACCGCGTTAATTATATCTCATTTATTTAGTTCACCTGTAATATGGAAACCAGAACTCACCACCGTAATATAAACTAGATTAATTTCGGTCTCTAATATCTACGTCGCTAAGTATCCCAGTACTAGGAACTTAAGAACATAACGAGAGATTACTGCCATGCTAGGCAGGTCCAACTCACACCCACCCATACACAATGATATGCTCATCCAACCTATATTTAAAGGTGACCTCGACCTCGACAGTAGACCTCGAAGTTCTTACCTCGAGGATGTTACCTGGGATTTAATTCCCCCTGAGAAATTGTTTCATTCATTTACAACTCTACTGCCAAAACAGTACTTCCCAATATCCTTTCTGAATCTGAATTTCTCCATCCTGAATACATTGCTTGATGCGCCTGGAATAGTGCAGAGTGCAGCATAAGTTGATAATGCAATTAACTATTAGTGTTGAAGATTTGAAGGAAATCAGAAGAAGCATTCACAAGTTATCACATGGAAACAAATCCCCAAATTTCTTCAATAA